CTCTTCTAGGTCCTACCATCCCTCCGTGTGCTTGTCTCCGTTGTTTCTGAAGAGAATTTAATGGACGATGGTTCCAGCAGTCACCACACTTGATGATTCTGATTTTCTTCCCGACTCCAAGGTTTCCTTCTTTGATGTTTAATAATTTGATTTACTGATCGAGTGTGGTTCGTTGTTTTCTTTGTCTTCCTTGAAGTTCGCAGAGTTTCTTATGTATAGATTAATATAATCAAATCGGGGGCATTGTGGCCATTATTTCAGGGCACATTTTTTCTGCTTTTTATGTCTGTTCTCCAGGTGCTCTCATTTCATGCATGCGGCTGTGTTTAATAGTGCCTCGGCTTCCTTGGGGTCTCTATTTTTCATCATGCTCTCCCCCTCCTGTTTTTAATCAATCAGAACCACTAAATTTCTACCAGTCATAAAGCATATTGATTCTTCTGTCAGCTCAGCATACTGTGAGCCCTTCATGAGGTTCTCATTTCATGTATATCTTTCAATCACAGCATTGTAATTTGTGATTTAATAAAATAGTTCCTATCTCCTTATTGATATTCTTTATTTAATGAGGCATTTTCATCTTATCTCCCTTTAATCTTTAAGCATGCTTTCCTTTATAGCTCTCTTATTTTTAAGTCTCTCTCTCTCCATGTGTGTGTGTGCGTGTGTGTGTGTGTGTGTGTGTGTGTGTCTAAAATTCCTTTTCAAGCTCTCGGGTTTTACGTAGACACAGTTGCCTCACGTTGGCACCATTTTGTAGTAGGAGATTGGCTGGGAAATGAACAAGCAGCCTCCGCCTACACTAGACTTGTTTTGTTATAGTGTTTCCTTGCATTCCCTTTTACCAGCTTCCAAAGATCAATATTAATGACATCAAGGAGCCCCACTGTGTCCTCCTTCAAGGGGTCTATTGATCATGACTTCATTTCTTGAAGCAAAAGGATGGGTTTAATATTAAGCCGAAATACCAAGAGTTGGCAAAGAGATCATAGAATTGAATGACAATAAAATTGCTCAGAAATGAAAAATTCCAATGCTCCAAAGGAGTTTATTTGTACCACATATATTTACTTCTTATACCTTACTCAAGGTCAATGCCTCCGTAAAGACTAAGGAAACCAGAGTGATTTAACAGGTTGCGTAGAAAGAGAATATAAAATGCTAGCTCAGCTGCACCCATTCTTCCGCCACCCAGACTCCTCCTCAGTCCCAGCACTACTGCTTAGCATAGCCAGTGCCTGCCTCGTGCTCACACAGGCTATGTTCTATACTGGTAATGAATCATGGGTTATGATGATATGGACTGTAACTGTATGAATTCATATCCAATCAACCCTGTGTTCTCATCTTCTATGACCACTATACTCAGTCCATGGGCAATAATACTATGTCCCTGACCAACAGTCTCAGTTGTGAGAACTAAAGACATTGGAGCCAGTGGGACCTGGGTTTGAATTCTGATTCTGCCATATAGTGAAGAATGCCAAGAAAGGGCTTAACTTCAGTGTTTTCTAACCCCCTTGGATAGAATTCTCAACACAGCAAATAGCAGTCATCTACTCACAGAGTTCACCATGTCTTCCTCTAGGCCACACAGCTGGTTTCCACCCCTAGGCTTTTTTGCAGCAGGCTTGGCAACATGATTGAGTTCTATCACATGACACGACCTGACTCCTACAATTCTCCTTCTCATCTTCCTTTTGTCATTTCCCATCAGTGGGAATATGGAAGGTATTTACTACAGAAACAGAAATCTGAGCAAATCACATCAAAGTCACCCAGCTAAAAAGCAGAGTTAGGGGGGGCTGGAAAGATGGCTCAGTGGTTAAGAGCACTGATTGCTCTTCCAGAGGTCCTGAGTTCAATTCCCAGCAACCACATGGTGGCTCACAACCATCCGTAATGAGATCTGGTGCCCTCTTCTGGCCTGCAGGCATATATGCAGGCAGAAAACGGTATACACAATAAATAAATTAATTACTTAATTAAAAAAAAAAGCAGAGTTAGGATCTGACACCAGGATCTTAGCTTATCCTAAATCTATGTGCTCAGTTAGAAGCTTGCTTCACTCCCAAGTCAGTAATTTCTCAGAAATCTATTATTCATGTAATATGCCTATTCCCACAGCCTTCCAACAAAAATAAAGATGCTGTATCAGTGCTGATTTATTTTTTATACAACTAAGTATTCTGGAGACGATAGGACAACAGAAATATTGTTCGATATACACATGAAGTAACTCGGCATTTCCTCCAAAGCTCCAAACTCTCCTGTTCCATTGGAATCCTGCAAAACAAAAGATGATGTGTTCAGTGTAAGTGCAGCCACCGTCAGGATCAAGATGAGGCCCAGATACAAGTTACGATAGACATAGTCTACACTTCTACAGTGATGTGGCATGTCACAAGCACCAACATTGTTTTCCTTGCACCATTGTGAAGTAGTCTTTATGGTATTTGTTGCAAGATATTTGATGACACTATGTAAAAAAAAAATCACTGTAGTTGGTTTATTAAAAAGCTAAATGGTCTAGAAAAAACTAGGCAGAGGTTAAAGGCAGGACTTCAGGACAGAGAGAGCACTAGGAAGAAGAAAGGGGGAGTCGCTAGCCAAATGCAGAGGGACAGAACATGCAGGGAGAGAGATAAAAGCTATGAGCTGTGTGGAAGCCTGCAGACTAATAATTTAAGTTAATTTAAGTTATAAGAGCTAGTTAGAAACAATCCTAAGCTAAGACTGCGCTTTCCTAATTAATAAGAAGTCTTTGTGCCATTATTTGGGAGCTGGCTGGTGGGACAGAGAATATTTATAGATATTTATATTTAATAGTATAGATATTTATCTTTGGTATTGAATTAATTTTTTTTGGATTTATATAAATCTTTTGTTCTTGAGAAACACCTTACTCCTGCTTTTGCTGGACAGTTCCATCTCCCGGGGTGATGGCAGCTTCCTCAGACACCTTGGACTCCTAGGACTCTGATGCTGGCAACAGATAATGTTCATATCTTCATGAGGCCAGGTCCTCAGGAGAGACAGATCAGTCTAGAGTTGCCCCTATGCATGAACTTCCTTGTCTGAAGGCCTCCTTGGAGTACCACCTCAACACACTAGGGTAGTGTTTTCTTCACTGAAAGGGTCAAATAGGAAGGAAGGGGTGCAGCTCGGGTCATATGAGACCTAATCTCTAGCATAACTCTATCCAAAAACGACAAACTTCTCAAAGCCTATTGTGAAAGCAGCTGTAACACAGCTGGAAGAGTCTGCTTCCACCAGATTGGATGGTGGGGAGGTGGGGTAGGCTTCTATGTGCTGTGGACAGGCAGAGTCCTTTGTTTGAACAATAGCAATCCCACCTTCTGCCTCTATCACCTCAAGGTCAGACATAGAATGTTTGCTTGGAAGAGAAAATCTACAATGAAACTAACCTTGCTCTGTCTACTGGAATTTGTTGTCAATGTATCTTCCATTCCTTGACTGAAAGAAAAAAAAAAAAGCAAGGGCAAGGAAGAAAGTCTTATAAACACCGAGACACAACTTCCTGGACATTTTTCTGTACTGAACACAAAGGTCTTGTTTTTCTAACTGAGCTCTCACTCCCATCATTGAAGACTTACACGGCAAGTTCACATACATCCTCTTGGGCAATGATCTAGGCTCGCACTGTTCCCAGGAACATGACCCCTATTCTCCATCACACCTCCTCCTTAGATTTAGCTCATGGGGAGACCGTCTACTTTCCAGACTTCTCAGCCTGGAGACGTAACAGTGATCTACTGCTTCTCAGAGTTCTTCCCAGAAAACAGCACTTTTGAAGGTCAGGAAAATGAAAAAGGTAGAAACTGGGGCCAGGTGATAAAGATTCCCATGGACCGAGGGGTTAGGGAAACAAAGAACATAGGTGGGGTTTTCCATGCCATTTCCCAGAGCCCTGAGTGGGCCACAGTGTGCTGTGGGTCGTCAGGAAGACTAAGTGTTGCATCTTCTAATCTTGTCCTTTTTTTTTTTTTTGCAGGATACTAGCACCCATGATTCACAGACTACAACTTAGAGTAGTCATGGATTAAGTCTGACTCACTCATATTTTTATGCAAATATTGAGAAGCTGAGGCCTTGTGTGCAGTTAGCAAATACAGCAAAACTGAAACCTCCATGACTTTAGCAAGGACCTTTCTGTCACCTGGGAAGGAAGATGGCACCTGGACTCTTCATGTCAGTGTGATTTTAGATAGCATATCTGCTTGGGATTGGGGACTCTGGTTTATCCAATATCTGTTCATCAACCGAAGTCCTTCCCCCTTGACCGCCAAGCTCCTAGACTATGGACATGCCCAGACTATGTCTTGTTGCTGTTTCCCTTGCAAGTTTGTAAGAATTTTTGGGTGAACCATGCCCTGCAAGGAGAAGAGCAGTGCCCATCTGGTCCCAGCAGTTGGGATGACAACAGTGAATACAGTTAGAAACAGAAAAAGGAAATCTGGTATACCCTGAAAAGGAAAAATGGCCACCCCCAGGTGGAAGTGGGACCCTGCAACACAGAAACACAAACTGTTATGCAGTCACAGTCTAAGTTAAAGAAACATCCTTGGAGAAGGTTTCAAACATAAAGATATCTGAAATACTTGTTATTAATGAAAATTCTCAAAGTCCATCTCAGACCTATTAAATCTCAGGGAAGAGCCCAGATATTCCAATTAAACCAGATTCTAAGGCATGCTTAAGTCTGAGATTCACTGGTCTATGGGATTGGCACCGGCTGAAGTAGTTGTCCTCTCTCTAAGTTTGCACAATGGCATGTGGGTCCCTGAACCAGAGAGGACAAGTCCCTAGTAACAGATGGCCCAGGTGACTCACCTGTGAGACTAGAAATGAAATGTTAGCCATGTTTAAGATTCACCCCATATTTCCATAATCACTTTTTACCTCAGGACAAGCCCAGGGACCCCCAACTTCAATGTTTAGAGAGGATATTCAGTGTCCTCTAAGGAGATCTGTTCTATCTAAATGGGCCTGGAAGAGTTACAGGTTCCAGCCACATCTCTGCCCTTTTTTTCTAGAACTTTCTGGAAATCAGTGTTCTCACGAGGTTCACATGCCTTCTTAGGAAAGTCCACAGTAACAGCCCCGGAATCCTGTGAAGGAACAATGTATAAATTAATTTATCAGGCATCACACCCATCACCTCACGCTGCCCTAGAGTGATGGTGTCCCTTCCTGGTTCCATTCGAAGGTCGCCAGAAGAGAAGAAGCAGTGGGGCAGAATAGCTGATCGTGAGGCTGATTGCAAGTTCCAGAAGGAAAGCTCATTCACTCAACCAGTGTTGCGGTATGGGATTTAAATAGGTTTCATTTGCTCACAACTCTGAATAAACCCAACTCTGAAATGTACTTCTGATTTAAGCGAATTTTCAGTGTCAAGTTATTTTAGCATCTTCCGCTCATTTTCCATTATAACTTGGTTTAAGAATGGAGTTAGAGCCCAGCGGGAAGCCCGTGTGCAGGCAGCACAGAGATCAGGCAGTGTTCTAGCAACTGAGAAATTTCCCAAAGCCTTAGAACTACTGGGTTTAAATCTAGGAAGTTTCTGGACCAAACAGGACATGTTGGCGGCTACAGCTGGACTCAAGATAGCCAAAAGAAATTTCTTTTAATTAATTTTTTTGCTGTCATACATAAAACCTTCATTAATAGTTCTTTTTTGATTAATAGTTTGTACAGAATCAGCTATTACTGAAACTGTCCTTACTGAATTTAAGGGAAAATAAGAAACTTAAAGCAGGCAGAAGCAGGAACATCACCAGGGCAAATTCCATGATGAGACAAAAGGACAGAATTGAAAAATAACATAAAACAAAAACAAAATGAACCAAACAAAGGGACGGGATTGGATGGGGCTGAACCAAAGGGCCCATCCCTTGGCCTTTCCAGTCACAACAGCATGAGGTTACAGCCTGGAAAGTCAAGGTTAGGGGACCACACAGCTCTCCCTGCCAAACTGGATACTGGGATTCAAGGAGAGAACAAAAATGAGCAAGACAGGGTGACATCACAAGTTTACCATCATGTCTACAATAAGCTGTAGTACTATGGAGGGAGGAAACAGGCACCTACTGGATGCAGCAATCTTTTCATCCTTCTGCTGGAGAGCTTGGCAGCCAGGCGCATCAAGGGGTGCACGGGCACAAACTGCAACAGAGAGATGCTCTGAGGCCTGAGAGTCTTGGGGAGGAGATGTAACCTCGGTGACTCCGGTTGAGAGCCCAGGGCTATGCACGTCCTTCTTGACTCGCCTCTTTTACAGATGGGTTTAATTTTCAGAGTAAAATCGATTCTGGAGCCTAAGCTCGAAACATTTATGTTTTCAATAAAGAGCTTGCTTGCCTGGATACAGGTTTCAATTCCAACACACCACTTAAAAATCTCCCCTCGGGATAAGTCAGCGGCTTACCGACATTAACCCTAGGCACTCTGTCTTAGCCTCAAAGTAGCTGCTGCCCTAGATTCTTTTTCTCTCTTCCGATGTGCTGTTCTGGGGAGGAGGTACCAGGGTGGTAAGCATCGGGCTCTACACTGCTTGGCTTCACCTGTCTGCACACTCCCAGATAAGGGCATCAGTTCTCAGGTGTTTTGGTTTTGAAACAATCATGGCCTCTCCCCTTTGTTCCTTTTTGCTTTGTGGTAGCTGGCTCCTCCTTATCCAATCCCATTCCTAGACTATGTCTCTGGAGGAAAGATACTTTGCTGAGTGTTTGACAATCTTTAAGAAGACTCGGGAAGCCCTAAATATATAGATAAGTGACTTTCCTGTAGTAGGATGTCAGTCGCTGGGACAATGCATCCAAACTAAACTCTAGATTTTATGACCTTCCCAGAGTTTCTCAAATGCCACCCGGCAGAAATTTACCTACACGAACCACTCTTGAGGGTCACTAAGAGTTTTAAGAAATTCAGGCAGGCATGATGGCGCCCACCTGGAATCTTACAGCAAAGTAGGAGGAAGCCCAGATGGACGACATAGTGAGAACTTATGCCAAAAAAAAAAAGGGGGGGTTGGGGATGTAGCTCGCTGATAGGGTGTTTGTCTCCCATGCACAAGGCTTGCAGTCTGAGCCCCAGAGGTGCAAACACAAGTTAGAGGTGATCGTTGTCATTCCCATTGGGCATCTACACCCTAACAGCCACAGAAGATGGCATGTGTGGATCATGGGGGTGGGGCGGGTGGGCAGCACTGTACGCATCACACAGTAATCTTCAGAATATAAAGAGGGAAGCACTAAGAAGCAATGGGTGTGGCACTTACCAGGCTCTCCTTGTGATTGTGTTTAAGTACACGATTGCAAGAGCACTCTTCTTCCTTAATCTCCCTTTTCTGCTGTTTCTTCTTCTCTAATATTTCAGATCTGTCGGTTACCCACCATCCCCACCTCTGATGAGAAAGTGACAATTCTCCCCATCCTGGGCAGGGAGCGGGAACACGCGTACGGAGCTATCATGCATGGGTATCTAGGCGTTCCCTGCCTAAAGCTTGGCAGTGTGTGCATATAAATTCAGAAGGCATAAAAGGTATGCAGAAGAGCATAGTTTTTACAGAAAGTATAATAAAATACTGACCTCGGAGTTAATGGGATGCTTTGGCTTCTGAGTTCTGGAGTAGTGAAATAAAAACTGAATAAATAAGAGAGGAATATTACCACCAAGTGTCACTTGCTCCAAACATGGCGCAAAGTACGTGTTGGGCACCACAAGGCACTCACCCTTTTGTACACATCCTGGTTTTCCTGGAAAGAGAATTGAGAAGAAAGTTACCCGGAGTTTTACTGGAGTGGGTATCTGATGATGTTTTCAGTGTAAGTCACACTATGAGCCTGACTGGATTTACTCAAATATTATGAATCAGTCAAGACGTAGTTGACAACTGGGCAGTGGTGGCACACTCCTTTAAGCCCAGCGCTCAGGGGCAGAAGCAGGTGAATCTCTGTGAGTTCTAGGTCAGCCTAGTCTACAGAGTGAGTAGCCAGGGCTGTATAGATACACAGAGAAAAGCAGTCTCAAAAAAATAATAAAGAAAAGAAAAGAAAAAGAAAAAAGACTGTAGCCGATTTGACACAGGTTTTTAAGATAAAGTTGCCTTTTACAAGTCATCTCTTCTTATCTTTTCAATCTTAGGGAGGAAAGTCTTTCCCCTATTTCATAAAAATCAAAGTTTATTCAACTCTTTTCCAGCTGCCAATCAGACTTCTCTAGATTTCATGTGTATCATTCTTACTTCCTTCCTTTCTTTTCATAGAAAAACATGTGTCAACTTTATTCAGGTAGCATTTCACTCATTCCCCCAACTATAACGCACACCTTATGAGGGCAGGTAGTTTTGTGTGGGTCGCCACTCCATCCCTAGTTCCTGGCAGTGCCCTCTTCTCCAGCATCTCTCCTGAATTAAGGAATAAATGGGTCTCTGGTCACAGAACCTATTAGCTTTTTCCTGCCTAAATTCCTTCTGATCTCATGGGATAAAGAGAAAAGCTGAGCTTGAAGAGTTTCTGCACATGACATTGGGTGTAGAATACAACCACTTCCCGACTTGCTTGAACACAGAAGTTTCCTGCAAAGACCGGGCTTATGAAGAACAGAACAGTAGCGCATTAAGAACTCCAGCAATTCATCCCAACACTGGACAGTTGGGGGCAGCAACTAAGCCAGGAAGAGGCAATAGCTCTCTAGTCATAATTCCAAAGTGTTGGCATCTTTGTTCACTGAATGACTATTTTTTCATCTGTAATCAGAAATAACGGGTGTGGTAGGCTCAGGAGAGATGAAAATGGAAAAAAAAAAAACCGCAGTCCAGCTAGGTCCTTGCACCTGGAAACCCCTCAATTCAAATGAATGTTGCAGCTGGCCGTAAGACAGCTACACTTCCACTGCCCCTGCCTATGCCAGAGACACCACAGCCTTCATATAGAAGCGTGAGAGCCACTGTTCTGCAAGGTAGGGAAGTAGTGGGAGCTGGGGGACTCCGAGTTCTCACTTTGAGGCTTCGTTCAGACACCAGAGCTATAAAGGTGGTTATATATAATCATCTCCAAACATGTGCATAGTGGCTAATTGAAAGCAAGATGCGCCTACTATATCTTCATGATGATTGAAAGAGAATGTGGCACTTGGATTTTGAATGAGGAGTAGCTGCATCAAGAGGTGGCTAATGGCTCTCTTTTACTATGCTGTGGGTGCTGTTGAAAGCACTTTATGGAAGTTAGAGCCCCCGTTCCTTAGGGTAGCTGGACTTGTTAGAGCAATTGCATGCATGCAACAGACAAGCCAGCTATGGCACAGAGACAGCTCCATTTGAGAGCCTGGGCTGTAACTACAGGCTCCCAGGAAGGCAGAAGCATTACTGACTAAAGAGAAGGCTGTATCAAGAGTTAAAGGGTCTGGTGTGTTTGGGCTAGAGAAGAAATGTTACTCAAGGTGAAAACTGATGGGCTACGCTGAGAGTTGTGAACTTGGTCCTAAGACCAATCTTCCAAAGTTTCAATTAACCAGCATTGGCTTTGTAGCCACTGAATTATTTCTGTTGTGGTTACTATAGTTACTGTTGGTATGGTCCTTGAGGACATGAGGTCTACTGTGTGTTAAGAGCTGTTACACCATAATGCATCAATTTATAACATATATCATAGTATATAACTAATCTTATGATATAGATAACATAATATTAATATACATGAAGTACTAATATTTTATGGTAATTTCTATCAAAGAGAGAAACTTGATTTTTTTAATTGTATTTTTATATACACACATACACATATATACAACATTCTCTAGTGGACAGCAACAACCATATATTAAACATAAGTTATGATGTAAACTTAGATACGGATATAACTACAAGAGCTAGCATATGTCTTAGTTTTACCTTAGGTTGGTTATAAAGTGTCTCCCACTGGTTCAGAAAGTATACCAGTTGCTAAAAGACAGAATGATGAAAAATAAATCAAATACAAAATAAAACAAATACTCTTTAGCCAGTAGAATTCTCTTACAATATGTTTAAAATTCTAAAGTCGTTCCATTTGTGAACCTTGAATTATCTCCTCACACAGTGCAGCGAATTTCAGTTCAACTCTCAGGATGTCTTAAATGAGGCCATGCAGCAATCGCAGTGAGCCTTCTGCCGCAGCCAAATATCTGATCTTAAAATAGTTTTAAATGAACATTAACCACATGATATTTTCAAGGCTGGGACTAAATGCAAATCTCAAAATGCTGCATAACAGCATACCTCAAGCTCCGCAATATCCAAGCCATCTGGAGAATCAGCTAAAGGTTGAGAAACTCCTACAACAAAAGACAATCAAAGCGTCAGTTTCAGAAAGAGACCATAGCATGTGCTTCTGCACCCATGACATAAAAATGATACAGAGGTCTTAATAGAATCCATCACAGAGCTGAGCAAAAGGAAGTCATTGAGAAAGCAAGTTAAAAAGGCAACAGAAGGTACAGTTAAGAGGAACCGAAAAGATAAAACACCTCTACCTAATACTATCAAATCCAAGATGTGCAACAACACAGCTTTAAAACTCCATGTGCTCAATGTAATGGGAGTTGCTAGTCCAACTGCTAGCAAATCAATAAAGAAAGAGAAAATACTTAGGGAGCAAATAAGTTTATATTTGGGTGGAATTTGTGAGGATCAAATACTAGAAAGTAATATTAACAAAGTGTGCATCTAATCAGGACTTTTAAGACATTCAGGTGCCCCTCTCCACTCTACCAGCCCCTCCAGGGGTGTTCTGGGAAGAATTGCTACTAGCATATAATTGAATCCTTCCAGCCCCCTTCTGACTTACATGAACACATCTTTTCATTTACTACACTCAGAGGTTTATGCAGCTGAAAGCATCCATAAGGGTAGGCCAACACTAACAAAATAAGATTAAATAAATACATATAATGTCCTGAACTTGGATACCTTACAGTGTATGACTCAAGAGAAGCTTATTCTAGCAACAACAAATATATGTAATGCAGTCATGCATGCACACATACATACACACACATACATGTATGTACACATATGTATTTACACTGTGGGTCATTTGTTCTCTGAAGTCTGAAGCAAAAGAAAGCTAAGGCAATATTCCTGCATATTCCAACAATGGCGTTCAAGCCTTGAAGAGTAATACCCTGATTTGAAATGGTAGAAGGTAATGTAGAGTTAATGTAGTTTTCTCTAGCAAGACTGAAATTGGGATACATATGTTTAGTCCCTTCAATGATTTTGACGACCGTCACAAGCAAAAAATCTTCATCTAATATTGAATACTCCGATAGATCTTAACAAAAATTCCTGATTGGAAGTCAGATGCAATCAGGGCACAGGTTAATGGAAAGATATTTTTGATAATCATGTTCATTTAGTAATGCAAAGTACTGCAAACCAGTCCTACAAGATCTTATTGGGAGGTCTGTGCTAATACAAAAATGGAGACCACAGGACTCTACCCTCAGAAAACAAAATAATATGAGAAATAGGGGATGGATATAAATATGAAATCTCAACAGCAAACTATGAACAAGATTCTGTTGGAGGCCAGAGGGACAGCAGCTGCTTGTCCTGGGCTGGCTGTGAGCTGCAAGTTACACAAAACAGCAGAGAAGAACCTAGAAGCCTGGCTGGAAAACCACAGAGGAGACTTGATGCTCTGGAGATTTTAAAATGATACAATTTCTCACAAAGCCCAGATGTTGCAATTACTCTTTAGGACAAAACAAGCACACTGTATTTCAAGGTTCACTAAATCAAAATTCTAAAGGAAAAACTCAATTTTTTTTTAATCCGCCTTTGTTCAAATCATAGACTTTCCTCAATGGCCCACTTTCCTGCACTCTATGACAAACTGCCTGGAGATGGTGATCTGATCATGACTGAGGACTTCAGACCTTCTCCCCACTTCGGGCTCCCTACAAACTGCTCAGAAATTGAAAAGGGGCAGCGCCCGGTCAGCACCGCGGACAGCGCCCAAGGAACTGGAGGATGCTTGCCTTTTGATTCTCCTGAGCTCTGAGAACCTACTCCCTCCCACCTGGATATAATTCCTTTCGTCTGTAGAGTTGCTCTCTGCTCGCTCCGGCTGCCCACCAGCTTTCAGTCTGAGGGACTGTAAACCTAACTTTCTTCACTGTGTTCTCAGCTCAGTATCTCTGAAACAGACCCCAGTGCACATGGAGACCATACCCTTCAATTTCACCACCACAGACTCAAGACACTCCTGGGGCAAGGCTGTTTCATCCCAGCATCTTTGGAGAAAGTCTCTGTGTAAAAGGCTATGGCATCTCACTGTGTCCCTCACACTGGTTGGACACAAGTGCCACGCCTGAAAACAAGAGGGTAGATGTAAGAATAGGTGGGAGAAGGAAGCTCAACTCTTGTGAGAACGACCCTGCAGGGTAAATATCCCAGTCTCGTACAGAACTCAGGTCAGGCAGATATGGTGTCAGTCCCCTTACCTGAGGAGGGAATCTTCAGCATACAGATGCAGTAGATGACCAGGACGGAAGGGAACTGGGGAGGCAGAAGTTTCATCTTCGAGGTCTGGTTCCTCTTTGCAGGCCACAGATGTGTGTTGTTCAGAGAGGCAGTGAGCACTTTCCCAGGGTCCTGAGGCAGAGATGATCCCCTGCACTGCATCTGTCCAGCCCAGGGCAGTAAGGAGCCTTTATCGGCAGCAGCCTAGAGCCCACTGGCTGAGCACCAATCAGCTTTGCGCAGGAGGACCCAGGCTTTCTCATAAATGTCATGCTGGGCCTTTATTTGTAGAATAATATCCTCCTAGTGTAAGCATTGTAGAGTCGAGCCAGCAATAAAAATAAGAAGTGGGGAGTCGTAATTGTTATTCTATAACGACTTCAGAAAAACTTCTGACTCGGGAAAGGCCTATTCCCCCTTTCTTTCTAAATCATAGCGCTGGACATAAACCCATAAACCCTTGTATAATGAAGTCGTGCTTCCTAAGAAACTGTTCATTTTCTTGGAGCAGCAAAGGTTGTCTCATAGTCTTTGGTACATCTAAGAGCAAATCCTCAAGTCCTAGAATGGATAAACATTACAGGGGGACAAAGGTCAATTAGAAGATTTCATCATTTCACCCTTTTCTATTCCATGTCTAACCCATAGAAAGCTCTCTTATAGAAAAAAGTAATTATAATCAACATGCTTACACACGAACCGAACACGGATGATACAATAGATTTGCTAATGTTATTGGGAAAAGCACCTGAGGTCCTCAACCACACACAAAGATCTATAGGAAACTAAAGAAGGCAGAGAGTGGGAGAAACAGTCTTACCCAGGGAAGAGGACATCAACTGGTTATTCAATATTACATGGCTATCCCTGAAAAGGAACATACAAATAACATATGGGCTGAGAAGGTTTTCTTTATGTGTATGTATGCATAAACAATGGAGAGAAAGGCCATGAATGTGAAATTTTGAAAGACGGCCTGGAGGGATGTGTGGGAAAGTTGGGAGGGAGAACATGGAAAGGGGAAATGGTGTAATTATATTATAATCTCAAAAAAAAATATTTTTTAAAAAATGATTTAGCAACCAAAACACAATTTTCTACAGACTCAGGCAGGTGTGATGGAGCACTCCTTTAATATCAGCACTTGGGAGGCAAGAGACAGGTGGAGCTCTTGTGAATTCCAGACCAGCCAGGTCTACATTGAAACCTTGTCTCAAAACTACGTAAGTACATAAATAGTCATGGTTGGAAATTTACCTCTTTAAGACTTTTTTAGATTCATTTCTACAGATAAGTTAACTATTTCAAATTAAGTTGGCAATTTAAAAAGTGCGATAGCATGGTCACTTAATAATAATAGTGAATTGGTTCCATGTGCTGAGTTTCCGCACGCTGGGATCTGTCTTCATCGTCTCAGGTAGGTTAGCTTGTAATTATCCAGGAGAAATCACAGTACACTGGTGCTGTCCTAATCTTATGAATGGAGAGACTAGATCTGGGAATCATTAAGAAACACTTAGTTGCTAAGGGCTCCTAGGGCAGCTGAGCCTGTCTGTCTGTGGGTCCATAGACAATGAGATTTGGGTTGATAAGTTACTTCTTCTAAAATGAGCTCTTTGGGGATCATGTGAGACAGAAAGTAAATGAATGAAAGTTTCTATTTCTTGCCAAAAGGATAGCAATATGGCAATAATTATTTTATGTGTTTTTGATTATGTATATCATTAGTTTTGCCCTGTTAGAGGTTACAAGATAACTAATAGCCAATGAAGGCTTACAGTGTATCTCCAATATGCTAATTTGTTTTTCTTTGATTATTTTCTAAATCTTTAAAATTGTTTTAAACATTGACTTAATTTAACTGAGTCAAAAATTATAAATGAGTGAAATTTTAAGGAACGGTTTTGATCAGTGCTGCTCTCGGATCTCATCAGAGGAGTTGCTTTGTACAATGGACAGCTTTGTATTTGTAATGTTAATGCAGAAACTCACAAATACATTGTATGAAATTCTCAAAAAAGTAATACAAATGTTATTTTTGAAAGAATATTTTTGAGTGAGAGTGGCTCAGAAGGAATTATTTGTGTCTTTAAATAATGCATTTTCCAAAAACATTCCACTCATAACAGAACGGGAATTGTGACGCCGCCTTCATCACAGTATCTTTTCTCCTTCCTTACGTGAGCAAGAAACAGAAACTTATATTTATTATGATATGTAAAATTTTAGTTCAAGAATAGCACCTGGTCTTTATATGCCACAGAATCTGCCACTTATATTAAAATATTCTCACTGACTCACAGAAAGCCTTTACTGAACGAAGGCATCTATGAAGGAGCATCTTTGAAGGGTAAACCACTTGCAAGCACTGGAGATGTTCAACATGCAAATCGTAGCAAACATTTGCGGTGACTCTGTTGTCTGCCAGCAGGTGCTTACTGGACATCTGGAGTGTGTCAAAAAGATACACATGCTTTTCAAACAAACCACTGAAGTGAATAATCCAAAACAAACATGTTCCGTCCCATACTAATTCTCACATATTTGCATATGCATATTTGGTCTACACGAGTTCTAAGATAGTCAAGACAAGGTGTAAAGTATCAAATGGAATGTTAATTCAAAAATTTGAAGCTATAGAGAAAAAAAAAACCTCTGTACTTATACTATTCCTTGTATACTGCTTTGAGCTCTGTTGTGCCCTCTGCAATTTATAGTGTGTTGAAGGTGCATGCCTCAGATAAACTGTATATATAAGTAGAACCATCACTATATGGTTCAATGGAGCTGTAAGAGATCTCTCCCAGGCTTTCAGGTACGTGGAGGAAAGGCATGAGAGGACACCATGGGACAGGAGATCTTTCCACAGCCACGGAGGGCAGCTTACCAGAAGCCAACCACGTACGGCTGTGAAAATACAGATCTCTGCTGTTGAAGGCCCCGGTCTATGGTATTTTATTGTGGTAATTCAAGCAGAATAATACAGACACAAAGGGATTTTCTAGTCAAAGAAATAAACAGTAAAATCAAGATGTTAAAGTTGAAAACTCTCACACTGCTTCCAAACGGTGCCTGTTCACAAGAAAAGGTATCGATTGGAAAATGACGGAGCACTTATCAAAATGATCAGACTTAGAGAAAGCTATTTTCAGTGTGATTTTGTTAGGCATGCAAGCAAACTTTCCTCATTTTGGGTGTTGACCTCAGTATCTTGACACAGTAAGGAAAGCTGACTAACACAATGCCTTCCATGTACAAACTAACAGTCTAGAGCCATGTAGACTCCATCTGGTCTCAATACCCCAGAAGAAGAGGTCCCAGAGCGATGGGACAGGCAAGTAGGAAGAACAGCTATTTCGTGAAGTCTGGAAAACTATTGCAGCCAGGCAACCCTGTGCTGCTCACAGGCTCTACCTGCCTTTTCTCAGAAGCCCCAACAAAGGCTTTGTCTTATCTTCAGACTCACCTTACCTTCACTTCTGCATTCTGCTTCCTGGTTGTTCTGGGCCTTTCCCTGAGGTCTTTTGTGGAACAGCAAACCTCTTGTGTCCAGGACTTCTGAGTATAGACGTGCCTTCACTTAGGATGGGGTTAAAACTGCAAGTTAAAGATGTATTTAGTCCACCCAGCCGATGGACATCTCGGCTTGGCACCTGCCTACCCTTTACCCTGGTGATTATGAGGTTGGCAGGGAGTCGTGTTTCTCTTGTGCTGCCTTGCATTGCAAGCTGGGACTGTGCCGCATACTGCTAACTCGAGAAAGGACCAAAATTCAAATTATGAATTAGTTTCTACTGGATGGGGATGGTTTTGACATCATCATAAACAAAAAAATGTCATAATCTGCTATTTTCTGTAAAATAAACTTTGTTTATATTGCTTCTCCCTTTGTGTGTGTGTTTGTGTGTGTAAAAGAGAGAGACAGAGAGAGACAGACAGACAGAAAGACAGACAGAGACAGAGAGACGACAGAATCTGTGTCCGTGTATAATTACGTGAGGGGATATTGGTGCATGTGCATGTCTGGAAATCTAAGGACAACTTTCAGGAATAGGTTTTGTCCCTCAACTGTGTGATTCCCAAGAGTCAAACTCAGGTTATCAGGCTTGGCCACAAGCACCTTTAACCGCTGAGCCATCTTGCTGACCCCAAATTTTGTGTACTCTTTGTTTTGTCCTGTCTCCTCTTGAAGCCATACTTGCCTGACTAGCATCTAAAATAACATAAAGGCTGGGAACCTTTATGTTATTTCAATGGTGAGTTGCTTCCCCAACATGCTAGAATTCTGGGCTGAAAAAAAAAGAAAATTATGAAACGCAGAGATATGTGGCTACTTATATATAAACTCTTACATTAGAAAATGGTAGAGGGGCTTAGCAGGTAAACAGTACTTACTGAGCAAGCCGGAGGAGCTGATTGAGAAACCATGTTTTTGTTTTCTGTTAAAAAAACAAAACAGGATGTGCAGGACATGTTCCTGCCTTCCTACAGTGATTGGGGAGCTGGAGACTGGACAGTCCTTTGGGACCTTTATGAGCCAGCCAGGCTGGAGCACTCAACACAGCTGCAAACTAAAGGAGGGACCTGGCCTCAGAACATGACTGGAAATTGTCCCTTGACTTCAACACTTGCTGTGGGACAGTGTCCACAGAAGTGCGGTTGTCCGAGGAGACCACAACAGGGCTTGGGATCCCTTGGAACTGAACTGACAAGCAGTTTTGAGCTGCCCCATATGTGTGCTGAGAACACAGTTTAAGTCGTCTGGGAAAGCAGTACTTACTACCTCTGGAAAATTTGTCCTTAAGCAAAACTTAAAATAAAGTCATAAAAGGAAAAGATTAACAAATGTCATTCCATTTTTAAAAGTTGTATATTTTATCAAAGTATCACAATAAATATGAACAGGCAAAATATATATAAGTATATTAGAACTCCATAAAGAAATTTGCTGGGCAATGGTGGCAGATGCCTTTAGTCCCAGCACTTGAGAGCTAGAGGCAGGGGGATCTCCGTGAATTTGAAGCCAGCTCAGTCTACAAGAGCAAGTTCCAGGACAGAGTCCAAAGCTACAGAGAAACCCTGTACTAAAAAACAAACAAACAAAAAAAGAGTCTTATGATCAGATGGAGGGATGAGTTGTACATCACAGACAAAATTGTAGGCGAACTTGACTAGTAACGTGTAAATACATGCAGCTTTTTAAAAGATTAAGAAGGTTCTGTATGCATAGATGGAGTAAGTTCTTTATAGCATAATTT